ATGTTCCGTAATAGCACGCTGGACATTTACACTTGTATCCACACTGGCCATTGGATGTCGTCAGTTCACAAGTACCATAATTTTTGCATACAACACCGCTACAAGGGTTTTTATCTTAAAGGGAAAGTACAAATATTTTTTTTTAAAATGCAATTATCTATACATTTTTGTTTAAACATGTATATAACACATCCGATCTCGTTAAATATCTAACGATTCAACTTGATCTTAAAACAGAATCAGAGAATGAAGAATTAACGTAAAAATTAACTCTATTATTATCTTACAATTTTCACAGTATGTTCCGTAATAGCACGCTGGACATTTACACTTGTATCCACACTGGCCATTGGATGTCGACAGTTCACAAGTACCATAATTTTTGCATACAACACCGCTACAAGGGTTTTGATCTTAAAGAGAAAGTACAAATAGCGTTTTTTGAAATTCGATTATCTATGTAGGCCTATTTCGTGCAAACATGTATATAACACATCCGACCTCGTTAAATATCTAAGGATTTAAATTGATCTTAATACAGAATCAGAGAATGAGGAATTAACGTAAAAATTAACTGAATATTATCTTACAATTTTCACAGTATTTTCCGTAATAGCACGCTGGACATTTACACTTGTATCCACACTGGCTATTGGACGTTGTCAGTTCACAAGTACCATAATTTTTGCATACAACTCCACTACAAGGGTTTTTATCTTAAAGAGAATGTACAAATAGCATTTTTTTTAAACGCGATTATCTTTTTGTTTAAACATGTATATAACACATCCGACCTCGTTAAATATCTAACGATTCAACTTGATCTTCAAACAGAATAAGAGAATGAAGAATTAACGTAAAAATTAACTCTATTATTATCTTACAATTTTCACAGTATGTTCCGTAATAGCACGCTGGACATTTACACTTGTATCCACACTGGCCATTGGATGTCGTCAGTTCACAAGTACCATAATTTTTGCATACAACACCGCTACAAGGGTTTTTATCTTAAAGGGAATGTACAAATAACATTTTTTTTAAAATGCGATTATCGCTATATCTTTGTTTAAACATGTATATAACACATCTGACCTTGTTAAATATCTAACGATTCAACTTGATCTTAAAACAGAATCAGAGAATGAAGAATTAACGTAAAAATTAACTCTATTATTATCTTACAATTTTCACAGTATGTTCCGTAATAGCACGCTGGACATTTACACTTGTATCCACACTGGCCATTGGACGTCGTCAGTTCACAAGTACCATAATTTTTGCATACAACACCGCTACAAGGGTTTTTATCTTAAAGGGAATGTACAAATAACATTTTTTTTTAAATGCGATTATCGCTATATCTTTGTTTAAACATGTATATAACACATCCGACCTCGTTAAATATCTAACGATTCAACTTGATCTTAAAACAGAATCAGAGAATGAAGCACGCTGGACATTTACACTTGTATCCACACTGGCCATTGGATGTCGACAGTTCACAAGTACCATAATTTTTGCATACAACACCGCTACAAGGGTTTTGATCTTAAAGAGAAAGTACAAATAGCGTTTTTTGAAATTCGATTATCTATATAGGCCTATTTTGTGCAAACATGTATATAACACATCCGACCTCGTTAAATATCTAAGGATTTAAATTGATCTTAATACAGAATCAGAGAATGAGGAATTAACGTAAAAATTAACTGAATATTATCTTACAATTTTCACAGTATTTTCCGTAATAGCACGCTGGACATTTACACTTGTATCCACACTGGCCATTGGACGTTGTCAGCTCACAAGTACCATAATTTTTGCATACAACACCGCTACAAGGGTTTTGATCTTAAAGAGAATGTACAAATAACATTTTTAACAATTTTGAAATTCTATATATTTTGAGGAAACATGTTTATAACTCACCCGATCTCGTTAAATACCTGAACATTTAACTTGATCTTATAAAGACTAATAAGAACGAATGCAATGCAACACTTTTCTTTGCATCAAATTAATTTTATGGTCCTTGTATGATAGAAAACATAAGACTTTAGTAAAAATAATACAAACACAGTTTCACTTGGCATTAGATCTTATCTTATAATTGCACCCATAACAATTATCACATGTTTTCCCACAAACACATGCGTTTACTCTCTCGTTTTTTTTTTACCTTAACAATAATATCGAACTGGAGGAGCTTAGCGGAAAATTTATTTTCTGTAGCCTCCCCTTGGGACTAACAGTAGCTGCAGTGCTGCAATACATGTAATGTGTATGTGGATATACACCAAAAAATAATGCTTGGGTTTCTAATCAGCGTGTGTTTTTTATTGTTCACATTGCACATCACCTTGCTTTAAACAGAATCATGGAATGGAGAATTAACGTAAAAATAACTTAATATTATCTTACGATTTTCACAGTATGTTCCATAATAGCACGCTGGACATTTACACTTGTATCCACACTGGCCATTGGATGTCGTCAGTTCACAAGTACCATAATTTTTGCATACAACACCGCTGCAAGGGTTTTTATCTTAAAGAGAAAGTACATATAGCATTCTTTTGAAATGCGATTATCTATATATAAGCTTAGTTTATATAAGATCTTAGTTTAGTAACTACATGATTGACTTTTCCACGGCGCCCCGCTCTCGTTTATTCTGAAATAGTAAACATATCAAAGAGGAGGGGCTTAGTTTAAAGGCTCTGTTCGGCAGCACCACTGGGATCCCACAGTATCCGCAGTGCAGCAATACAACACAATAAACTTGATGTGAATCTCGATGCACAGCCTGAGATAATACTTCGGTTTCCAAACAAGCTTGTGTTGAAAAGCAGTAGATAGAAAAATCGAACAAATTATATTCTTACGATTTTTGTTCCATAATATCATGCTAGACATTTACATTCCGCGTATCCACACTGGCTATACGTTGCTATTATTTCACACGTACTGCCATATTTACACGGTACACCATCACATGGTGAAATATTTGAAATTCAAAATAAAAGCTCAAAAGCTCATCTAAAAAAGAAAATTATTATAGCTCATTAAATTAGATAATGTATTTTGGTGTCCATACTTTGCAGCTGATTTTAGAACTACATATACCTATTCTAACAAATTACTCATTATATTTTACAAATTATTCATAGAATTATATTTGTAAAATAAATATAATTCATCAAATACAAAATAAATATTATATTTTACAATATTTCCTAATAATATACCAATATTTAATTTTATTCAACTTATTCCTTACATTACATGTATACCCAACATTCTTATCTTATAAATTTACAATACTACACTTCCGTATGAAATAATAGTCAAATTGCTGTAGATTTTTATTAGTTACTTAATTTACAATTTAAATAACTTACATGACAATTAAAAAACATTTACTTATATATTGTTAAACGTATTCGTAGTAGGACATCAGAAATTATATATTTTTAAAAATATTTATTAACATACTTATTACATAATCAATATTACTATAATAAACAGATGTATATTGTCTACCAATTTAAAATTTCTCTTAACACATTCATCACGTAAATTTGAAATATTGTTATTCTTTGTGAAATAGGTTGTTTTGTCTAAAAAAAGAACCTATTATAGTTGTAGGGTTATAATGCTAAGGATTAATACGTGTTAGTTGATGTTATCTGCTGCCTACTGTTTGTTTTACCAACAAATGTATTTAAAAACTAATGGCGTGAGAATTAATCGAGGTATATCTTTTCCGTCTCTACAAAAATTGTAGAAATTTAGTTTGATTTGCATTTATCTCTAAGGTAAGAAATTGCTACATTTATTTAGGATTATATTTATGAATCTTTCTAAAATAATTATTTTTAAAATTATTGAATGCTACTTTTTTCAAAAAAGCGGACACCCGTCACAATTGTTTATATTAACATCGCAAATAATCTTTTTAATGCATTACTATTCTCAAAGAGTACGCATACATATTTACATTTTAGTACTTGATATACAGTATTAAGCTTTATGATCTAGTAGATAAGTTGAAACCGAAGAGAAGACAAGAATGGACATTGAATTACAAGTCTATTACCGGTACCATGCAGCACTGATCTCGTAAAATAAAAGCCATTGAATAAAATGTTAATGTATAACAATTAGGCCCGAATAGAGATTTAGGATTTCTACAAAATAGTTAGTTCTTGGACTATAATTAGTTTTTGGATACTGTTGATTAGAACTCTGTGTAAAACATGTCCTTAATTAAAAAATAAATTAAAAAATACATAAGTATTACTTTACTTTACATACGGTAAATTCTTGTACCCTAGTAAATAGAGTAATTGAGTCAGCAGTCTGCATGGAGTAGCGCAATGCGATATCTGTTTCAATATATTAAAGATATTTGTATGACTTACATGTCTCACAATATGTTCCTGTGTAGCAACCCTGACACTTGCATATGTACCCCAGCGGTGATGTACTTGAGCTGTGTGTAACGCACGTACCGCCATTTCGACAGATCACATAGTCACACGGGTTACCGACATAGCCTATCAATTCAGGGGAAATATTTTACAGAAATGTGTTAGTTTACCAATAACTTATTAAATTAAAACGCTTGTATGGAGTGTAGTTCTACGTGTCTAAAACCTAGCCTATGAGAATAAAAAAATAAATAGACTTAAAACTTTCTTTTGAAATGTGGACATGGAGAAAGATGGAGAAAATTATCTGAACAAACAAATGAAGTACTTGAGCTTTATTAGCTATGATAAAAGACAGAAAGAGGAAATTTATCGGACATTTACTTAGAAAAAATTGTATTTTGAGAGATAATTGAAGGAAGGAAGAATGGAAGGAATGCGGTCCCGAGGAAGAAAAGAGTAATATTTTTAGATGACCTGAAAGAAATAAATGAAAGCTATGCCGTCATTAAAACTGTGTTGGCAGGAAGCAGATGATGATGAAAACAAGTAAAACCATCCCGAACCTACCAGCGCTTGTGAAACTCAATGCTCCTAATAATATTAATGCAATATGTATCTCCATGCTGCTTTAATGTAGATTCACTATGCCTAATGAAGATGCCTCAACAGCACACGTATTTATACTAACATGATGCCACTAATCCTAATTTGTGACAATCTCTTAATCCATAGGGCTTCTTACCACTCCCTGAGAGTACTTGATTTTTATGATTCGTTAATAGATAATACAAGCAGTTGTTACTTAAACATACCATTGTCGTCAAATAAGACAAACTCATGAAAATACAATGCCATGAGTTAAGTAGGCCTCTATTTTTGCAAAAAAAAAATGCTTTAAGTATGTGGATGATGGACGTCTTAAGCCTTCATCAATTTCTTTTTGATAATCCAGACGATTGATGATATCGTTGCTCTGGTTAATGCTACAATATACGGAGATCAATGGCCTAAAATAAATAACCATAGCAACGGTATGTCTACCGAAAAACTATTCAAATTTGAGCTATCTGCAGCGGTTACATTGACAGAGGATTGAGATTTTGTAAGCTAGCAAATTGGCGTCCAACCTCATGTAATAGCTTTAACAACAACAAATTTAAGATCCAGGACATACGTTATGATTATCATCAAGGAGAAAAATACCACATTATAGTTCTCAATTAACAATCGTTGCACTGATTCAGATCTATTCGTACAGTAGGATACACATACAAACGTCAATTGATTTCTCCTAAAACACCAAGTTATTATTACACTCCCGAAGGAAAAAGAGAATATAAATATTTCATTACAGATAGTACAGTATAGTCCTTTAACTTTAATCGGTTAAAGTGCGATCAAGGTTATAATAACTAAAACTGTTTAATGCATGTACATAAATTGCTAGACAGAATCTTACCTTCTAGAGAAAGGCTAATCTTTTGAATATTTGTGGCTCTCCTCTATGTAAGTTTTATTCTCAAATTTGCAACAAAGAATGTGTGCTCTTTTAGTGCAAGTTACTTGAAATCTTTTTGGAAAAATAGTAAAACTGTTAAAAATAAAAAAAATACCACCATGAACATAATTGAAATTGATACAAAATCACAAAATAGTGCAGTTTTTATTGCAACGATACTATAACAAGGGCTACTTTAATAACGTCTACAATTAATTTTTTTTTAAATCAAGAAAATAATATTATGGATTTTATTTTTGTAAATTTTGAAATGCAGCTAAAAGTTAGAACATGCATGGATTCAAATCCAAGACATTTAGTCATATATACATTTATATATTAAACACAGACAAACATATATACTGGACTTAAGTTAATATAGCAGGGAATCTTGGAATTGTATTATGATTTATATTAAAATAATTGATAGTGATGTTAAAAATTTACATTACTTTTTGGGCAAAAAGAGATTAAAAAAAGTATGTAAAGAAATTATGCATCCTTTCCCAGTTAGAGGAACACTACAAAAAATAACAGTAACATGAACGATCCGTGACAGGCTGGTTTAGGTTTAGGGTATTGGTCTTCATTCATAATTTTCGTGGCCTCAAATTGGTCAGTTAGACATTCCCCCACCCATATTTTTTTTTATTGTTTAATATACCACTAAGTGTTGTTATTTTTTTGTTGGCCAAAAATGAAAAACACTAAAAGACATAATAAATTATACAGTCATAGTTATTCGTCGATAATGGAGCACAGTTCAATAACACTACATGTAATTTAATTGATGCTGTGCCTTCACAAGTATTGTTAAAAATATATACTTAATTGACTAAAGACAACTCAGACAAAATAAATGTATACATACACACAAACACACCCCCACATACTTTACATACACACATCTAAATACATACTATTTAAAACATCAAACGCTCACTACGACTCCTTCAAGCGTGTGCCGTTTATAATATTTTATATTCGTATCCGCAACAAATTGTCTTTGTTTAAATTATGTATTTGACTTATCAAAACAATCAATCCATTCATCCTTCAGTGCACATGTTGTGGCAAATATACCAAGGGTGAAATTTCTCAGATTACAATGCAATACTGTACCATTGTGGTGGCAAAGGACCGGGTGGTAACATGCCGGGTGGCCATGGGAATGGGGTGGCACAGACCTAGGGTGGCAATGGGCCGGGTGGCAGCGGGCCTGGGTGCCAAAGTGGCAAAAAAACGGGCCTAGACTCTTTTACCAGATAAGCTAACATTTTGTATTTTTTCCAATGCACATGTGTGAAGAGATTTACATTTGTGAAGTAGGATTAATCGTTTGTCATATAAATTGTTTAGTTGCATTGTATTGTAAAATTAAAATGTTTCAGAGATGTGGTGTGGTGATATCAGTTAAATGTTAGGATCAGTACTATTTTATAAATTACCACTATGCCTGTTTGTTTGGAGTAAATGCAAATAGTATCTTACCAAATTATATAAATTAACTTAATATTGCTCGTCACGTCTAAATTATGAAGTAATAAATTAATAATATGTTAGATTTATATAGCACTTAACGCCAACAAGGCCTCTAATCGCTTCACATTACTACTTTATGGACAGACCGAGAACCAATTTTTTGGAGATGCAAGATGCAATGTAAATAAATCAAGATGTTACGCTTTGATTGGAGACGATGAGTAAATGAGTACATAAGTGACTGGCACCTAAACATATACAATTCAATAGTTTAGCAGCAATCTTATTTTTTTTGTAATTACATAATTACAATGTCATTATCTTTCAATCTCCAGTTTTCTATCAAGTTGTAATTGATAATACATAAAAGAAATTATCCTAAATGAACAAACGGAATTTTAAAATTCAAATTTTGATTGATATGTCTTCATCTTAACCTATTTTCAATTATTGAAAGTTGATATACTGATATTTTAATCACTGCGCATGTGTATACAACATGCCGAGTTTATAGGCCCTATGTAGTAAAGAATTAATGATTTAAATATAAAATTATTTTTTTAAATATTTGTCAAAACTGCTCTGTATAATTATGTGAAAGGAATAAATGTTGTTCTATAATAATCTGTATACAATTTTTAAATGTTATTATACTAAGATTAAAAAACAGGTAGAATGAAATTTTTAAAAGATAAAGAAAAGTAGGGAAAATGAAAAGAAAACAAAAAAGATGAAAGAAATCAGTCAAAAGGAACAGAAAGTTTTAACAATTTGGTGTTTTAGATAGTCTAAAGAAACGAAATAAAAGCAACAAAACAGAAACCATCGGGTTGGTGTCCAGCGAGGTATGTATGCGAAATCCATAATTTCATGTGTTTATGTAGACTACAAACAACTTTAAAAAAAAAAAAAAAACCCACGTCATTGTATCTAAGTATATTGGATATTTTTTTTTTGTTCGATGTTTAAAGTGTTTCAATAGTCCTGTGAATAATCATTCACTTAACAACATAGTTCTTCTAGATCCGGTTCACTGAATGTAGGTTATGGTGTGGTGATATGATAAACACCATTCCAATGGTCTTATATTATAAATCGTGTTCTCTTTTAAGACACCGATTTTGAAGATTTCACGTTTAAGTGTCTCAAAGCACAATTTTTTCTTGATCTTGATCATTCAATAGTTAAGCAGGAGGAAAATTACGAAATATAATTTCATAAGACTTTCCGGCTTTCTATGAGTATTTGTATTGCTAGTCATGGTGAATATTCAAAATAGACCAAATTAGAGCAATGGACATTCGCATCTTTCAATGTTCTGGTATCTGGTCATATTATACTAGATTAAAAAATATGCGAGTTGATGCCTTATTCATTGTATTCAGTCACATAAGAGAGAACTGATATCACCGTACCTTGTGTGTTTCAAAGTACAACCAAGTCGTTTTTTTTTTTAAATTCTCCTAATGATTGAACCAAAATGCAAAACTAAGCACCCGTGATCAGTGGATTATGACGCTTATTTGACAGCGAGAGGACACATGAAATTTTATGTTAGTTTTATAAGTATACTGAGCAAAAAAATGCATTGATAAAAATAAAGAAAACACAAAGTTTTCTACATTAGAAATTGCTGAAATTGTAAACTTTGTTTTAACAATATGCTTTGTTAATTGATATATTTTTACACAGATGCATTAAAAGTATAATTACAGTGTATTATATAAATGTGCTATTTTTTAATATGAGGCTGCTGTATGATGGAAATAGAAATTTGATGACCCCACAAAAGATTAAAAAAACCCAAAAAACAATTACACAGCATGTATTTGCCCCTCGACATTCAGAAGAGAAATGGACCTCTGAGCCAGCATTCACAAGGCTACATACATCCATTAATTTAATCAGCAGTGAATAGTGTGGTACACAACATTTCGAATGTTTTCTTTTCTCATCCATCTAATTGTTTTCCTTTGATGGTTTTTACTCTATTTTTCATTGTCTTTTCTTCATTTTATTTGTTTCTTTCATTCAATTTTTGTTGAACATTAGTTAAAAGAGCATAGAGACCTGGTATGAACTAAACAACTCTACAGCCATTACCATTTACTATGTACTACTTGTATTCTTAATGAAGGTAACTTACGAAAACTGCCTTGCATTACTGCGTTTGAAAGTACCGTGAGATCTGCTGGAAAGCAAGATCTATTTATGATAGGTGTGGTTTTGAGACGGTACGCAATCTCCGTTGGAACATTTTAACGTAAATTTCTTGTATTTTTTTTAACATTCTAATAGGTGAAAGTGTGTCAGAGCGAAGCAAAGTTTGTCCGCATTCCGCATTTTTGGTTGATCTCTTACTATTTTTTTTTTACTTTAATCATCAGATAAGCAGTATAATCCGTATAATATCTTTGGCATACATTGACATAATGTGTGAATCAACATCAGTTCCGGCTTACAGTATATAGGTTATATTGTTTTGTTTTCTAATTTTATCGTTAATTCACTTAAAGTAATGTGTTCACTTGTATTGAATAATAGATAACTGGCTGTGGTCAGTTTTTTCATTCCACTGCTACATACATATTACTATAGCAACACAGCTTGTAAGTACAGTATTGTTACGGTGGTATGTCATGGAAATATAATGGAATTGTATTTTACTTTTAAACATAACGCTATTAGACCTACTGATTTTTTTTTTTTAGAATGCATCAACAACTGTGAAGATATTCATTGTCAATAGGTCTAAAACACAAATCTTTAATTTTCTGAAAATTTACTGATCCTGATATATTTTGTCTTAATACAGTAGTAACATATTTTATGCAAATAATATGATTGACATATTTTCTTTTTCTGAGTATATATATATATAGATATATATTGATATATATATATATATATATATATATATATATATATATATTATGCTAC